TTGTAAAGGGCGTAAGCGCATTTCTTGTAGACAATTTGTGGAATTCCATCAATATGGTCATTCTGCTTGCGAAATGTGATATGTTGTTTACAATTTTGTGATGATTGTGTAGGAGTAATAGTTTCCTATTTGGTTTGATCTGTATAATTTTGATGCTAGTTTTCTGCGTCACACTTCATGTGGGTCACCCTATATGCTACAATTGCAGCTCCGGAGTATATCTCTCCATCCAACTTTTTTCAAGAATTTCGAGGTGAGGGTTTTGGTCAATCTCAACAGAATATTCATTTTGTGTGAAAGAAACTATTTGTTTGATGTTATATTCTTGTAAATCCTTGCTGTTTTGTTGATGTTTTTCTTGTCTTCATCTTTTTCCAGTCCTCTGGGTTAACATTCTCTTTTTTCAAAGTTTTTTCAAAACATGTAAGACACCAGAATGTCGTTGCCTTCATAGAAAATGTTTATTTTTGTGGCAATCGGCTATTTTATAATGGCTTTGGCAGCAGATATAAAATAATTTGTAAATGTTTTTGATGTTTAGAAGCTATTTGGTGCATAATTGCTGTGGATAGCAATGGTATCTTGGATATAACACAACAATTGGCAAATGCTCCATTGGGTAGAGTGAGCTCACCGACGGGTCATAATCCATTCATGAGGTCGTCACCTGATGAAATGGTGAGTGTTGCAAAATTACTGTCCATAACCATTTTCGAGTGTCTTTCGGTAAGAGCTATAGGAAGCTTAGTCTGTTGCTGCTGAGTTACCTGGGAAATAACTCTGCGCTTTCTACTTGTCGCTTTTACTTTGTCTACGCCATTGAGAGTTGAGTCAACGGGTATTAGAGTTTTCGGAGGAACGTTCAGAGCGCTGAAAGGTTCAATTACTGTAAAAATCGAATGAAATGAAAATGAGTCTTTGTCGGAAACAGAGACATTTTCGTGAACTTTCAAATACTGTTAAAGTACGAAGTTTCTCTATGAGGCAAAATTTTCTCTTAGTTTTGCCCTGACTAGTACTGTTGTATCGCTTTCAGATAGTTTCTTACATATTGCGCACATTTTTATATATCGAACTATTTTTTGAACATTTAGAGAAATTTCATTTCCTATACAGTGTCTCATGTTTGTGTTGTTCCGATAATTTCAGTATTCCCTTTTCAGATGGCAGATGATTTCATGGGAATGGATGTCACTGACAGAGTAAGTAATCGCCACTTTTACTACGTTTTTTTCAGTAGTCTCTTATACTATCCGTTCTATGATAGGAATGTTTTCAGTATTTAGTTATTTCGATAATGCTTCTATGAATAGTTTGTTGTTTCCAGTTCTCTATGCATCTCTCGAATTTTGACTGCTCAAGTCCGGTAACCATTCCTCATGGCGATGGTACTGATGGTCCTCCTTGCACACCATGTACACCTCCTCATGATGAACGTGAATAATTCGACACGGTTCATCTCAGTGGCTCGGTAGGCTTTCAACCGTACCAAGTACTAGATTTTAAGTTGTAATCAAGTCGATTTATCTTTTCATTCAAGTTTTCCCTTCCTTTCGAAGCCGGTTTTTTCGGGTAGAAACAGTTTTTTGCTTGGTTAAATCATTTCGGGCAAAGTTAGATGTACTCCCGCGGGATTTTTTTGTTGAAGTTCATAGGTTCGTAGTTTTCGGGGTTCATAGTTCGTGGGCTTGTAGTCGACGCTTTCCGCCAGACACACGATCACTGGCACTTGAGTGCTGACTGTTGCCGTTACGAAGTTTCCTAAGATGTTGTTCTTACTGACATTCGTCACCGCTACATAACTCTGACTTGATTGCGATTGAGAGGAGCATCAGCTAGTCCCTCAAATTCCGAACGGTTGACAGGAGTTGCAAGTTTGCCGACCATAAACGCACCTGACTATCGCGGGAAAATTTGATTGCTCAATCCAATCAATGAAATGCATGAGCTAAAAGCGAAAACTCAGAGTTAGCTTAAAATTAACGGCCATCTACCGCTAACTTCCTTGGTTTTCTCTCCAGCATCGATTAAACGTTGATTGATTTCAGATTGCCACATGGCCTGCCAAGCAGTCGCTCCCTTTAAGCTTCGGCATTTCCTTTTACTATATACCTGTGTATACCTTATTAGGCGTCATTCATTTACTCCGTGTTGTCCCATTTGTTATTATCTTTAATGCCCTACATATTTGCCAGATAATTTACGACCAACGTAAACTTCCCGAAATACCTCTAGATTCGATTAGGTTCCTGAAGGCCTCTAAAATTCCTTTTTATTCCCTGTAAATGAAAAGCTAAAAAAAAACCTGAACAACTATGAACAACGACTGTGTCAAGTTTCTCTGTTAATTGTTTCTTTTATTTTTTGTGAATTATGAGATACTTTCGTTATCCGTAGCTTTCGGTTTTGGATTCGATTTTGTAAAACAGCGTTGAGTTTGTCTGTTTATTGTTTTTCGAAATTCCTGGCGTACGGTTCTAGTTTTAAATTACTTAAAACAACACTATGTTATTACTACATTGTTTGATAAGTTCTTGGCTTTTGAATATTTTTTAGAGGGAATTTGCTCAATCATTAACTTGTTTGGATTCGTAGCGTCAGGATTACCTGGTAACTTCCTGTTTATCGTTGTGTATTTTGAAGTCGCTACTAGTATTTTCAAGCTGTTTTGACGTATATCAAGACAATAGATGAATAGGGGCTTATTAAAGAAATGTAACTGCTTGAAGAACCCTGATCGCTCAAAGTCAATGTTGATCGTCGTGACATATTGTCAAAACAGCTTAGAAGTACTGGTTATTGACTTCTTGGTACATGGGTATAGACAAAATCCTGACGTTACAGGTGTCCATGTAGGTTGGTGGTTTACGGGCCTTCCGGAAAATATTCGACAAATTGCCATAGGGCTTATTAGACAAGTGTCCCAATCCTTTTTGATATCGTCCAACGATGTATGCTGTTTTATTAGTGATTATCTCAAAGTATGTCTCCTCTCTATTACTAACCGCCAGTGTTAATTATGTGATAAGGTCAACACACAAAAGTATGCGTACCTAATTAACGTCAAAGTGTTGTTAAAGGCGTTTAGTAACGGGTACATGTAGCTAGGGTGACTTTTTTTGTTTTTGTATGATGTCAAATAAAAATGATATTCGATTAATTGTAATTCATGTCGCGGAGAGCTATAGTTATACTGAAGCGGAGTCGTTCAATAGGGAGTGTATCCGCTCAACACAGAGGACATTGATGCCATTAAGGGAATAATTCTGGAATATAAATATTACATGGTATACGCCGCGATAAATAGCCAAAGCCGGGTTTTGTAACTTGGAAGAAGGTCGACCGAGGGCACTGAATTTGTTTGGTAACAGATCCCTTTAGTTTTTCATGGTCCGGATTCTCAGCTGCTAGCTTTCATGGGGCTAGCAATATGAGAAGAAAGAATACTTAAGGGCTTCATACTCCTAGGTTTAGGTCCAAGCCCGAGTCAAGCCTAGAAGTATGGAATCCATCAGTGTTTCAACTTTAACTTTAACTTCAACATCTTCTATTTGCCTGAAGTATATATTCATATGCGCAATTGCGGAAGCCAATGAAATGCATCCACTGGACTTGAGGTAGTGATACACGTTATTTTCGTTTGCCATATTTTTGCTTATACTTTTACAATAAGCTAAAGTATTGGCTCTGACAGCCATTTTCTAAAGTGCGCGCGCAGACTGCCCATGATTGGTTGTTGCGACAGCCCCACTAATCGCAGCCCTGCTTTGAAGGCGATGATTGCTTCAAACTTCAGGATCTTATCCTTTGTTTCACACCGCTTCAAAGGCCTCGAATATACTTACTTTCGGGATTATTTATCAACATTTCGTCAGGTCACAGGTTCAAATTCTGGGTCGATATCTGCCCAGACCAACCAAGCCTATAAACCCTGCGGGTGCGCTTCGTTGCGCGTGTCCGTCGAAACTAGGTCACGCCAGAGCCGTCGCACGCGGCGAATCGGCCCACGATATTTGACAGACGTCGCAATTGTCACTGGGGCATACGCTTTGCGTTTGGTCCACGGCAGTCAGTTCAAGAAGAAGATAACACAGACAAATGCAAATCATTTGCTCCAATGACTCTTGGTGGTACTGTAATGTCATCTCGAGACCTCAGTGTGATGCGCCGCGCGCGGTGGGCGGGGTGACCTACTCTCGAAG